GCTTCGCGGAATTCGTACAACTGTCGCAATTGGCTCTCGTGCTCCGTCTATCGTAACAGCGGCGTGAATTATTGGAAGATAACATTGCAAGGTGAGAGCACTAATATCGAATGCAACTGTTAATTTACCGTCGTCCCGATGAAACCGGCTCTTACGAGGTTTTGTGGTGTCATAAATCTTGGAACACCCTGTGCACACGGGGCCCGAGCGTAAAGGTTCCCGCACACGTGCGCGCGGACCAGCGGCTGCCAGTGAATGACGCAAAACACGCGGATTATTTTGTCGCGACGACTTTATTTCGAGACGAGCCGAAACGCCGCCGCCGCTTTCCACGAGCCGCTCGCGAAATCTCCGATGTACGATTTGGCAGCCGTGGAAATCATCATTCTTCGGCGTGGAAAACGTGGACGCCTCGGTGATGCCCGAGCTTCTCGCTTTCCTTCTTTTAAAAAGATTGTTTGGTAAACACTATCGATTACGACGCAATTGTACTACTTAGATTGGAATCAAAAGAATTAGGAGAAAAGAAACTTATGAACGCTTATCCTGGAAACAGTGCGATGTGATATTTTCGAAACTATCGAACGCTGAAAATTTGAAGACTCACAGCGCCAGCGAAGGAACGAGTTGCTCTCATCGAGTGCCACCGCAGGATGTACTTTCTCATTCGCGGCACACCTGTCTATAATTGTGCCGTACGAGCGCATCTGTGTTCCAGATTATTTTTAGGATTACATTCGTTAGAACCGCCGACGATTAACGCGTTCCTTATGTCGGAATCTTGCTGCGAGGGTCGTAAAATTTGCGAAATTGCTGGACGGAAATCCGTCTCTTCCGAGATGATCTATCGGAATGACATCTTTGGACGTCTAGAATTGCGGTAGAAATGTCATCTTACTGGAATGATGTGTAATGTAAGTGTAATCCATGGAATATGGAGGTATCTGCTCGCGAATCATCGAATTGACTGTATACCTGCCGAAGTCCCGTCGTTTCGCGCAACGGCAGCGTTTGCTTTCTTTATTTCGGAAAGACGAAGCTCGTGTCGTTGCTCCCCGGTAACGGCCAGGCTTACGTAACCGGGGAATTCAACGAGGCCCGTGAAAGTCCGCGACGATGCGCGAACATACGAAAAAAATCGGCGGATCTTTAAAGGGACGGGCTCAGCGCACGTCGCGCAGAGGCGCGGCTGAATGGTTGCCCTGAATACGAAACGACTGGACGAGCTGAACGAGTAACGCGAACGAGCAGCTTCGTGTTGTAATGTTGTCATACTGGAACCATTGGGCGGTTTATATGGGAAATTACTGGGGAAGTTGATGTAGTGATAGGAAAATTGAATTGTGTCGGTCGAAATTTCGAGAGGTTTGGTAGAGTTTCTGTAGGAGAATTTGGGAAAGTTTACGGTGGTTCTAGTGTTCAACTTGATTGCTTGGTAGATGCAATGTTTGATCGTACTACTTGGTAGTTGTAGGGTTCAACTGGATTGCTTGGTGGATATAGTGTTCAAGTATACTGCTTGGTAGTTCTAGTGTTCAATTTTACTGCTTGGTAGATCTAGTGTTCAATTATATTCTCGGTAGTTCTAGTGTTCAATTATATTGCTTGGTAGTTCTAGTGTTCAATTTTACTGCTTGGTAATTCTAATGTTCAATAGTTTTACTTGGTAGTTCTAGTGTTCAATTTTACTGCTTGGTAATTCTAATGTTCAACTATAGTGCTTGGTAGTTCTAGTGTTCAATTTTACTGCTTGGTAATTCTAATGTTCAATAGTACTACTTGGTAGTTCTAGTGTTTAACTCAATTGCTTGGTAGTTCTATTGTTTAACTCAATTGCTTGGTAGATCTACTATTCAACTTTGCTGCTTGGTAGTTCTAGTGTTCAACTGTATTGCTTGATAGATCTACTATTCAACTGTACTGCTTGATTGTTTTAGTGTTCAACTGATTAACTGGTAAATCTACTATTCAACCTTACTGCTTGGTAGTTCCAATGTTCAATTTTACTGCTGCTAGTTCCAGCGTTCACATAATCCTTCTGCCTCGGTAACTAGCCTATGCGCAACTCGCGAGGCGCGGTTACGAAATTATTGAGTCATTCGGTAAACGACCTCCGAAGTTCACTTGTCCACGACGAAAAATAGAGTGCACGCAATTGAAAGGATCGCGTTCTATACGGCCTGACCCAATACGTTCCCCGAGCCAATCGAATTTCTTCGAAGTCCTTTGCCCGGCGCACGCGAAAACTCGTGTTTCCTTCGTTCCCTTTTTCTCTTTCCGCCATTAATTCGGACCGGCCCAACGGGAACGACGTTGCGTGTTGCCCCGCCATTAATCACTCCCGATAATCCATTAATAATTTTTTGATAATTAAAAAAACGTCGATCGCGGCGCAGGTTTCTTACGGATTACGCTGCCCGGGAACGAAAGCTTCGGGCGGATTTTCGATCGAGCCATGGAGGCCATCGGTGGCCAACCGGAAACCGACTGCGATCAGACCGCGAACACTCGGGTTCGAAGTTACTCGGATTTATTCGAATGTTTCTCTCGCGATCGGCGGTTTCGCGATTCCGATAGAATTTCGCTCCGTTTTAACGTCGCAGACTCAATTACGGGAATTAAAGCTAATCTGTCGTCCGATTCCATAAACAAACCGTTCCGTATCAGATTTAACGGTTCATCGTCTTCCTCAAGGTTCGCGGAGAAATTAAAGCCGATCCGCGTACGGATACCGGAGGTCTCTCGATTTTCTTGCCGGCGGTAAGCGTCATTAGCGTATCGCAACGTTGTCGAGCACACGATCGTCGAACTGCATCAATTTGTCTCGGTTGTTTCCTTTCAAATTGAAACGTCCCGTCGGCGAGCGGGACGATTAACGAATTTTATCGTTCGAAGACGAGGCTGCGCACGGTTTAGCGAACGAGCAACGACACAGTTTCCGTCGAACGAGTTTCTCTTTCGCTCTCCCTGCGGGGACGAGGCGAGCCGGATCGCGTGCGCGTAAGTACACGCGCGAGGAATGGCGCAGTACATCATAGCCGAGACAGCGTATATCGCGCCAACATGTGAGATTGCTGTGTAAACATTGTAAACGAGCCATTCCGCGGCATTCCGTGGCGCGAACGAATTCGCGTTCCGCGTAGAAGATCGCACGCAACGGAAAGAAAAGGAAAAAGGTGTATCCGCGCGGATCCTCGATTTCAATCGTCGATACGCCGTCTCGGCCTGGCGAACCGTTCGCCTCGGCCGATACTTTCACAGGCAAGTTCCTTGTCTATAACGAATTATTCGATTGCCGGTACGCTTTCTATGTTACAACAAAAATGGCAACCGTTAGCAGCGAAGCAACGTAACGCGAGCATGTTAACTATAGAATTAACCCTTTACGGAAGATTCTTCGAAATATACAAAATTTACAGCATGTGAAGCTAAATTATATATTGATTGCTTTATTAATAGAAAAAAAAACTACTGATCTCTTGCTGTCAATTACATTATTTGTCCACGACATAGTCTTCCAAATCTGAATATTTCATCTCGCCGAAATGACATCCGTCCGCAAAGGGTTAATCTTTCGAGAACACCATGCTAAAGCCTTTGCTTTTGAAATCGAGAGTTCCGAGTGTCTAACTTAACACGTTGAATGCCATGTGACCTCAACCGAATCGAATTACTATAATTCATTCGATTAAACGATGATTATCTGAAAACTTTCCTATATTAAATAATACTACTTAATGCTCTGACATAACAATTCAAACCTGCAATAACAACCAATACTAACAACAATCAATTATATAAGTTGATATTACGTTATCTTCATTTTGTAAATTTTCCTCGGCAAAATGCGGCAGTCAACGTGTTAACTATGTAATTAATCAATACACGATTCCCTCGTTCCCCAGTATCCAAAAGTTCAATATACAATTCATCTTCGCGCGAATGTCCCTGAAGGTTCAAAGGATCGGGGGTAGTCTGATGGCCTCCGCGCTAGAAACTGAATCCCGTATTCGAACCCTCTACTCTATCCTGCCCGTCTAAATGGCTGCGCGGATTAGGAGCGCGGTAAAACAAAGAAATTAATCCCGTGAAATTGGCCTCCATTGTCGTCTAAACGCGCCGGCTCCTTCTCGGTTACGGGTTTCATTCAGGAGAGGAGACACTCGAGAGACACACACACAGAGAGAAAGAGAGAAAGAGAGAGAGTGGCAGGCCACGTTCCACGCGGACGCATTTTTCATCGTATTAGAGGCGGCTCGGGGGAAGATGGAACGGCACGCGCGGGGACAAATGGTCTGGCTGACTCACCGGGGGATAATCGAAGTCTGTGGAGGACGAGACATCCAGGATATAGTCGACTCTGCTCTGATTCGCCGGGTCCTCCAAAGCAACGGGCGGTGTTAGCGTGCTCATCGCGCTGGTTATCGTCTGCAAAAAAGGAAAGGGGAAATCATTTTTCTCGATTGCTCCTGGCTACGATTCTGCACGCGGAACAGCGAACGAATCGACGCTGGATGCATCTCTGACGATGGGTTACCCGAAATTTAATCGCTCGGGTACCCGAATTCGGCTACCTGAATTTCAATGATCAGGTACCTGCGTATGCAGTCGATTAATTGATGCTAGAGGTATCACTGTCCCAAAGGTACCCCAAAATTTTCGAAGGTACCTGAATCTGAACTCAGGTACCTGCGTATGCAGTCGATTAGTTGATGCTAGAGGTATCACTGTCTCAAAGGTACTCGAGAATTTCTGAAGGTACCTGAATCTGAACTCAGGTACCAGTTGATTAACCCTTTGCGCTGAGAGGTGACGCTCACACTTGATTTGATTCGCAAAATTATAGTCTTCTATAGAATATTAAGCTTTGTATGATACATTAATAGATGGAATATTAAAATAACTTTCCTTCTCGATTTGTTTCCTCATTAATTAGTTCCAAAGGACATCGTATCTCATCGGAGAACGTTGAATATTTCTAGAGGAGAACTTCCAGAGGGTTAATTGATACCAGAAGCGTTTCTGTTTCAAAGCGTCGAAATTTCGAACTGCTCGGGTACCCGCGACGCAGTTGACGAATTGCCGTTAGAGCTGTGCCGAGTTTCCATTTAACTTGGAGCGTGTTTGACGAGTCGATCGACGAAGAACCGAATTTTCGGAAGTTGAACGAGAATACCCGGAGAACGGGCATGAGATTATTCGAATGACGGCGAAACCGACACGGTGATAATCGTCGAAATTCATTCGCCGGACGATTCGCTAATTGTCGCGTTCGTAATCCCGGCCTGCCACACGGTGGAAACTCGTCCATTACGTTCGGCCGACATACGGAAGCGATCGGCAAGGTTACGCACGATACGCGTATCTAAACGCGGCCTCGAACGACAAATTGATGACGGGCGCTCGTCGTCTCGCCTCGTACCGGTGTAACGCCGCGGAGTTTACGGCCGTTTACGGCCGGCGAGATGGACGTTTGCACGCTTCTTACGGCGCAGCGATGGGATCGAGCTGAATCCACGATGAAACACCTCCGGGGAACGATCTCGTTTTCCCTTTCCGATTAGGGAACATTGTTTTCGCCGCGGTTCTCGACGATAATCAAAGTAACACTGAGAAAGATGAATTTCGACTATTAACCCTTTGCACTCGACAATATTCTTCATTAAAGATATTCATTACTTTTTGACTAAATATTAACGATATTTTTCGCAACTAACATAATTGATTATCTTCTATAAATTAAGAGACGGAACAATTTTACTTCGATGTTTTATGTGTTGATACATTGCACAAAGTTTAATATTGAATTGAAAATTTTATAAGTTTGCTGCGTCGAATCAGGTGGCGACTGAGAGGCGCCCCTCGAGTGCAAAGGCTTAATATTGAACTTTGCATAATGCCTCAATTCTTGAAATATTCGAATAAAACAGCTTTCCTCAATCTATTTGCGATTTCCCTGCGAGTTAGTTTCAAAGAATATCTTTTTGTCAAAAAATCTTAAATACTTCTAAGAAACTTCCGAGTGCAAAGGGTCAATCGAGATCCTACTGTAACGAACTTGTCGAATTCTCGACGAACCGATCTCGGCTAATGAATTAACCCTTTGTACTCGGAATAAATCGAATAATTTTGCTGCGTCGAATCAATTGGCGACTGAGAGGCGCCTACGGAGTGCAAAGGGTTAAAATTTACTAAGGGTAGAAAGTAGAGAAAAATGGACTTCACTGCTACTGACTTCTGCGCGACTAATATGTATATCATCCTTTTCTAGATCACCTTTCTTAGAAAATCAAAGCGAATAAAAGAAACCCAAGTGACATTAACGTAGAAGGGTTTCTACTGTAAGGGAAGAAGACCGATCGGAGATATTCGTTGTAAACTCGGCGCCGCGGAGTGCCGCGCGCGAGAATAACGAGGCGGGAAATGATTTCATCAAGTTCGAGGGAGAAGAGCCGCGGACCGCAGAAGAAACGAGCGCGTATTGATTCAGCGATAAATGACTCGATCCGAAAATATCCGGTTCGCGGCGGTACACCGTTGCGTGAATTATTCAGCGCGTTTCGTTAAATATCGCCCGCCAATGGTGTTCCCGGGGCAAATGACGGCCGATCGAACCGGTTACGGGCCTCGGCGTCGGTCACCGGTGCCCGCGACCGATTCCGCGACAAACGGGCCGCGTGATCCTCGATCCGTCGCATTTCCTGCTCCGTCTTCGAAACGAAACCGATTTTGTTTCGTGAGAACTGCCATCGACGATAGTAACGGTTCAAAGATCGGGAGAATCGAAGAAATATCGAAGGAAATTCTTACCAGTATCGCGTCCCTGATGTTCTTCTTGATGTCCTCGATTTTTTGCCGTTTCTCCCTGCACAACAAGAGAAAATACAGTTGAAACATTGCAATTGCATTGGAACCATTCGCGTTTCGTCATCCTCTAAACCGATTTGAGATCGATTGCAGCGCGTAACGCTACAACTAATATTTAACGTAATTAATATGTGACCTTTATAAAAGTTCATCTTTTACAGTATTCACGTGGAACTATTTATTTCCAAAATCATTTCGAATATTCAATGCTTTTAAGATATTAATAACTGCGAAGCAAACAAATCGGTACCAGTCATTTTGACTGGTACGGTAGTTCTAGTGTTAATCATTCTGTATAGAGTGATACATTTCGAAGTAATCTAATAGGCGTAACGCAACACGATTATCAAGTGAAAGACGCCATTGAGAATTTTCGGATAGAAACGTCTTTCCAGTGCAAGTTAATACGTTCGAGATTTCGATAATCGAGAAAACCGTGAACACGAAGATTCTTCGAAATGTACCAAACCTTCAACAGATGAAGCTAAATTATACATCAATTGTATAATCGATAGAACAAAAGGAAGCTGCGCGCTGATCTCTCGCTGTTCGAGTAACTAAATCATTCTTTCGTGACTTAGTCTTCGAAATATGAAAATTTCATCTCGCCGGTATGCCGATGAAATATAGAAAACCGTCAGCAGATGAAGCTAAATTCTATATCGGTTGCCCAGATAATTGGAAATTACGTACTGATCTATTAGCTATTAGATTAGTCTTCGAAACATGAAAATTTCATCTCACCGGAACGTCGACATTCGTCGGCAAAGGGTCAAAACGCGGGTACACCTCGTGACCGGTCAGCGAGATAAGCGAAAGAACGCCGCGATCGGGAGGCGTGTCCCCGTCGATCGGGTTTTACATCATCGTCGCGCGCGTGCACCGGAAGCGGCCTCACGACCACGTCCGGGGAGAAAGAGGAAAAAAAGCGGCGGATTCGATCGGGCCTTGATTAACCGTTCGACCCCGTCCGAGACTCGATCTATATACAAGCATTGTCGTTATTAGCGGTTTCCCGGAGAGAAGCGGCTCGGTAATTTTAGATCGGCCGGCATCACGCCAGCTCTCTCTCTCTCTCTCTCTCCCTCTCGGTACACCGGTATTCACCGAGAGTCCAAGTTTTGGAGACACTGGAGCGATCGATTTCCACGAGCCCCAGAAAATCAACGTTTAGGAACTTCGTTTGCATTACTCTTTCCCTTTCCCTTCGTTGCGACACGTTTGGCACCATCGGTTCGTTGGCTAGATCGTCGATCTGCTTGGTTCCTCGACTCATTCGCGATGCTGACATTCGTCAGTGAAACAATGAATGTATACTGTACTAAGTGTCTATTAATTGTTCAATTGTAATCCGTTAAGATATTCTCGTGTTCTAGCAAAAGAGAGAGGTCTGTAGTGTACGTTTTGGAGTGACGGTTACGTTTGACTCTTCGATTCACTTATGGTGATACCTGTGCCAGGCTCCTGTCGTCGTGAAGCAATCGTTACGCTAAATCCACACCAAAGTTACGAGTTTTCTAATCGTCAGTTACTGATAATCGTGATAACAGGTAATTCGAATCGTATCAATCGTTAATTCCTTGGACCACGAGAAAGTCCGTTTACATTCATTCAATCGTTTCGCTTTCAAGTCTGTCTATATTCGACAAGCAAAATACAGTCGTTCGAGCTTCATCCATCGCGGAATGTATCTTTGCACAAATGTCTTAGTTTCGGAGCACGAAGCGGAGGTGTTTGAGAATCGGAGATCCGGTGTTCCGAGAGCGTAACGCGGTGCGTTAAAAATACAGAAACGTTGCGCTGGCAACCGTGCGTCTGTTTGCAAATAATCCTGCGCTCGGTGTGGACCCGGCATTACGATTGTCCGCGTCGCGTCGCGTCGCGTCGTTTATACACGAGCCACGCGCGGATTGCGGGACGACGACAGAGTCGCGATCTAATACAGGTTTCCCATTCGTGTTTGTTATGCGGCCGCCGCCGCCGCCGCCGCCGCCGGCTCGCGGGTACGTAACCGCGCAGCGTCTTCTTGTCCCTTCCCGCTCTCGCGGTCTTCTATTTCGGGCCGCCGAAGGCACGCGATTATTAATAATACCGTTATTAGCGTACTATTCCGGGACGCATTTCGATTTCGAACGGCCGGACCGGAGAAAGTTCCTTGGCACGCGGAGGGTTGTTTCGGAACAGAGGGTGCCTCATTGCGATAAAACACGAACGGCAGTGATATTTTGAGAAAGGACGCTAGCCCGCGGTGGAATTTCGCTTATATAAGGATCTGGGCTTTCGAGCGATTCGAAATGGGCTGATTCGCCGTTGCGATCGTCGGTGCAACAGAGAAGCTGGAGGTGGACGGAAAATCGGTTGGAACTTGGGTTTGAAATTGTCGAACGAAGTGTTCAAATCTAATATAAATTAATCTTCAATTTCTTATGGATAAACTAGACGTTCGTTTCTAATTTGGAATTGTCGAACAAACTGTTCAAATCTAATATAAATTAATCGTTCTTCAATTTCTTATGGATAAACTAGACGTTCGTCTCTAATTTGGAATTGTCGAGCAAAGTGTTCAAATCTAATTTATATTACTTAGATTTGAGAAAGTCCGTTATTAATTTATATTACTTAACCTTCAATTTCTTATGGATAAACTAGACGTTCGTCTCTAATTTGGAATTGTCGAACAAAGTGTTCAAATCTGAGACGAACGTCTGGTTTATCAATAAGAAATTGAGGAACGATTAATCTATCAACCGAAAATTAGAAATGATTGACTTTATTCTATACTGATCCTGTGATCGTGAAGCTGAGAATCAGAGATGGATTTCTCAATGAAAAGTAAGAAACGAACGATTAGTTCACAAACGAGAAATTAGAAATAACGAATACTTTGTTCGACAGCCACGATTGCTAGGAAACCCTGTACGCATCTCGGAATAATAAGAGGATCACCTGCTCGCGTCAGCGGGCCCAACGCGCCGCGCGGGTTAGGCGATCGGTAAAAATAGGACCGTATTAATTTCTTTGGTGACTAACGGCGTCAGTATTATAAATAATTTTCGGCGTTCCGCTCCGCGATGCGGTTCCCACGCGACTGAATTTAATCCCCCGATTTCAACCCCCACCCGCCGTTTCGTTTCCTCGCGAGGATCCGGCGATCCCACGATTACCGCCGAGAAGGCACGAATCAATTCCGGCTGTGCGCAAGTAATCGCGGTAACCGTTCACCTTTCGGCGTGGCCCGATAAAATTATCGAAAATCGAATTCCGTTGTTCGCCGCGGCCGCCCCGCGCCGCCCTATCAAATATACATCGGCCGCGACGAGTATACAAAGATTGCAACTAGATCGTGAAAAAGACACAAGACGGCGCAGCTATTTTCGGGCCTGACTCGTTTGTGCGGAGCGTACCGGCGCAGCCGAGGAGATCGCTGACGGACCAGAAGGAAAAGAACGAATCGGACGATCGATCGTTTCGGATCACGATAAAAATCGGAGGAATACGGCATGAGATTCTGCAAGGAGATCCCTTAACGATGAAACAGATTTACTTCGGAGAAGAAACTCGTTTGTGCTTGTAATCTGAATGCTGAGGGTTCGTATTTTAACCTGTTGAAAACTGAACGAGCACTTGAAAGAATTCTCTTGCGTCGCAACAATCTTAATGACATTGTTAATGGAAATTGAAAAGTGAACACTTCACAAGTGTCTCGACGCTTCGGCGTTTTAACACGTTGAACGCACGATTTCGCAGAGGAAAATACACAGAAAAAATATGATATTAGATCATTCGATTGAATTGCATTGTTACTATTCGTTCATCTAGCTGAGTGTCACTGCATTATGTAGCATCATTTACAATATAGAAATGTTGTCGTATAATTATTGTTTCATCGAGTGAACTATAGCAATTCGATTTGGTCGGGGGTCACCGGTGACCCCCATGGCATTCAACGTGTTAATACACTACTGAGGACATTTGTTTAGACTTAGGTTTCTGTGTGACTGTGGGAATAGAGGATAACAACCACTGAACACTGGAATTATGCGATCGCTGTGTTACCGACGGAAGCACCGAGGGAAATATTCAAGGCGAGAACTGATCATCGGAAAGCAACGCCGGAAAGGCGCGTATCTGGCGACTCAACGAACCGAAGGATCAATTTAGATATCTCCGAAAACCGTCGCGTCTCCGCCGGTACGTTTCCGCGGTAAACAATTGCGAAACCCGCGATCGAACGCGTAACGATTCCTAGTAAGCGTGACGCGGCCGACGAGCGACAGAAAAAAGATCGTCGCGACGGGACGACACAAATAACCACGCTGGTGGATCTTCGAGCAAACTCGAATTTTCAAGATCGTGATTGGAAAAAGCGGAACTACCATAGACAGCGACTGTTCCTAAACCGACGTTAGCAGACTCGAGAACGGCGACGCAACTTCGTTTTAAACGCTTCAGCCGAACACCGGCGACGTATTCCCACTTTATTTCCCATTTTTCAGAATGACGTTAATGTAGTCCGACGTCATTGTGCATTTTGAAGAGGAATGCCGGAATCCTACGTCATTTCGAAACCTGTAGCCAAGTGTCTAGACACTGGCGACGCGAAATGCAACTAGAATTAACCCTTTGCGGTCGTAACGCGATTTACGCTCGAGAAAACACTTCTACCGTTCTGATTGTGTAACACGAGAACGATGAAGATACGACATTCTAAATTATAGATGCGAATGAAAGAATGGAAATACTTGTTATGAAAAGCATCTATTATCGCGTTAGATTCGTCTAGAATCGAACAAGTTGTATACTTGATCCGCATGTGAAATTAATACGAGCGCAAAGGGTTAATACGAAGCGCTGCTTTCGGATGTTTCACAAGATTCTTTCGTACCGTGCGCGTCCGGTGCAGTCCGGCGATTTCGAATATTCCATAAACTCGCGGAGGTCCGTACTGTACGCGTAACAGGCCGTTTCCCGTCGGTCAGGCCGAAAATAAAATTCCGCGACGGGGAAACGGGATCGGCCGCGGAACGTAACAATAAGGCGTGTTTCAGCCGCGTTATCGGCGCCGGAAGACGCAGACAGAATTTACGACACACGCGAACCGGGCCGACCCGTCTGTTTGCACGTCGTTTTCATCCTATCTAGCTGCTCCTGATTCTCGTATGAGTGTACCCGACGATCTCTTTAACGATAACGAGTCGTCTCCGGCTTCTCCGTGATCTTTTTCTCTCGCGATCCGGCGTCATTCGGGTGGCGGATGGAGGAAATTGGATCGGGGATGCTGGAGATGCTGGAAAACAAGAGGCGATCGTTGATTTTAGTTTGTCCAGTGATAGAAGTGTAAGAGGTATTAATACTTGTAGATTTTTTAGAAATTTCGGTGGAATCAGCGAGAAAGAATAGAAACTACCCTGGACTGGAAACAGAGTAGATCTTCGATAATATTCAATGATAAAGCTACGGTCTTAACCCTTTGCGCTCCAGAAACTTTTCACCGGTTTCAATATTTTCTAATGAGATACAGACATTTTCTCAGATTGAATTAAGAAATCTCACATGCATTGCAGAAGAGAACTATTTTCTTTCAATATTTCCTACATTGATACATTGTACATAGTTTAATATTGAATATCAAAGTTTACAGTTTTGCTGTGTCAAATCGTTTGGTGACTCAGAGGAGCCTCCGGAGCGCAGAGTTAAATATTTGAATAGAAGAAAAATGAACAAACAATTATTTGAAAATACTGAATGTAGTGACGAAAGACTGCAATATATGAAAGAGTATCTAGAAGCGTAGAAATCGTTAAAGACGCAAGATATTAAAATAACAGAAAGACAACATAGTGTTTCCGTTTCAAGGATAGTCAGCAGGGAAGAAGAAGAAGAAGAAGATTCCTCGATTCTCCGCTGCTCCACGGTCTTCCTCGCGGAACCATCGACTCCGCTTCGCCAGACAACGCGAGCAATCGATGGACCGAATTAATCGCGGTCTGAATCATTCACGGGGCGTACGCGTAAACGGGAGCGGGAAAAAAATATACCCGAGGTTACGCACAGGCTGGCGCGTCGCCGCTCCCGCAGCGCGAAACGGCATTGAATGGGGAATCCCTAAGAGCGGCGCGCCGAAAGTTCTCGCCGGCGGGCCCAGAAACGCATGCGGATCGCGAGCAAAACTGGCAACTTACGCTTCGCTGAAACCATTCACGTGCAGTATCCTCATCTGTTTGACGATCGTGCTTTTCCCGGATTCTCCCGCTCCTGAAACAATCAAACCGCCACATTAGTCTCGGCTCTCCATCCAGGGGCCGTTCCGGTGCGCGCTCGTTCCCCTTTCGGGAAACGTGATTCACGATCAGGGGAAACTGTAAAATATCTCCTTTCCTTTCTCTTTTACGGATCCCGCGTGTTTTCCTCTCGATTTCAGCGATTCTTTCGGTAACTCCGATCTCCGTGCACCGAACGCTTCAGGCGTTCACCGTTTCTAGGTGGAACGGTCGCGATAGGGTTCGTTTGAAGCGACTTCTGCTAAGACAGGTTGGATCAACAAGTTATCTAGGTGTCCGCGAACGGGACAGGTTTCGGTAAGGATCTTTGTGCTCGCGAACAGGAAAAACTTGGAGGAACCGCGATCGAACCGGAGTTGAACGACCATGAGGTAGCGAAGGACGGTAGAACGCGATCAGATCGAAAAAAGCTGGAAGCAGTTTTAAGTTTCTTCCTTCAGTCGCTTGCCGAAAGAGGCCAAGTAAGGCAACGAAACGGGCTACCCGATTCCCCGCGTTCAACGTGAATATTACTCGACGGAATGACCAGCTCACCCGTCATTAACCCCCCCCAGAATCTCGAAACGCTGCGAACCGTAAAAAAGGCCGTTTGCTTTAAAGTACTCGGCTATTATTCTCCGCGCACCATCGCCTCGGAGCAGTCCTCCAGCGGAGAACACCCCGTCCGCCCCGCGTTGCGGAGGAACCGCGAAAATAAGGCTTCGCGGGCGATTCCAGGTGTCCTGCTCGAAAAAGCGACTCCTCCTCGATCATCCGCGGTTTCCCGTCCGACGTAGCGATCCTCCACTCCGTCTCTCGCGCGGATCGCAATTGTGGAGGACGACGGGGAAACAATGCAGCAACAGCTGTTGCTTCGCCTGACTGCGGGCCGGGCGGCGCGGGACGGAGGGGGGAATGGAAGGTGCGCAACACAGAGAGACAGCCGCGCGAATGCGAAGCGCACACATCCACGGTCGAATTAGAACGACGACCTACATAAACGGAAGAATAGGAAGGTAATGGCTAGGTGTTGGGTTAAGTATCGCGATAAGTGGACGGTGTGCGTGCGAGTGTGTGCGGCGAGGGCGCACGCGCGCGCCCATGTTGCTCGCCGCTCTCGTCCTCTCTCTCTCTCTCTCTCCCTCTGTTTCGCTCTGTGAACCACCCCCTTTCCGCCCCGTCTTTCTCCCGGTTACTCTGTGTCCCTGTGAAAAAGACCCCGATTGTTGGTAGAAGGAGAAGAACGAGACGAAGAGAGCCCCGTCGAAAAGGGTAGAACACGAGCCGGTGGATATTCGTGGGTGCCCGACGGCTGCCGGCTCGTACGATAATCGATAAAATTGAATTACGCGCCACTGAGCATCGCGATACGCCGCGCCGCTGGCTGGCCTGTCCTCGCCGAAATTCGAAATCGGAGCGGCCCCGCTCCTCTACACGTGGACGGGGTAAGTCGGATGGCCCACTTCTTTCAAAAGGAACGTCGCCTCGTAAATACCGCTGATGCACAACGACAAGCAAGATATTTATGGAAGCTGATAAGTGCGCGTACGAGGAATAGGTGAACGGGTCTCAGGATTTAGTGTATTCGTACGAATCATTGCTAGGATGTTCGACAATTTAAACGAGACTTCAGGTCCTCGATCAACCCTTACGCTAACCGAAATACCTATGATTATCCGGATTTTAGTGTTGCGATATTCTTCGCGCGAATTAGTTTTGAATATTGGCGTGGAGACTGGGAAATTGAGGTTCGAAGCTGTTTCGCATTTCCATGGGAACGAGGAAATCGGAATTATAAGGGTTAACGCTGGAATTGGTCCTATGTTACTCGAATAATTTAACTGGTTGCTGACGGCGTCCCTGAAGGGTTAACCCTTTGAACTCTGTAGGCTCCAATATTGCAGCAGTTATGATATTAAATATTTTAATGAATCTTGAAGAAACTACCCTAAGATCATTCGATTTTCCACGCATCCAAATTTTGTGCTAAGAAAGAGAATAAAAGATCGAAGAAATGTTATAGCATTCATTTTCGCTGGGAATACTATAAAAATTAGTTGCAGTTGCCGATAGATTAGAAAACAGCCTGGAGTGCTAAGGATTAATAGAGCGCGAAGTGAAATATGAAGTCAAGAGCTCGATGAACGCGGTATTGTGATCATTAGGGGAGGGAATGCAACAGTCAGTCCACCGACTGGTAGTTGTGTTCTGATTGTAAAATCATCATTGTTAGACGACAGGACAAGGGAATCTTTAAATGACCAAAGGAAGCAAGAGCTAGAAGACTGAAACGGAAACAAGTTTACAACGGTTGTCCTTTATGATTAATAGATTAATCCCCTCAGCATCCGTTTCACGAGTTCATCTCATATTAATATTTGTTGAATCGAGTTCGAAACCTTCGCCATTAGACTCTGAATGTTACAGGGCATGGGGTGAAGTCGGGAGTGACGAACTTGCGATCCACGAGCCGTGCGTGGTTCATCCCCTAAGTTTCTGCTCCGCGTGGAGAGTACGCGATTCCAATGAAAGCTTCTTTAACGAGACATAGCGCTAAATATACGAACTGATAACGACGATTGGGCTTATGAGGCTTCTAGCAAAGTCATCGAATAAAATCATCGATGCTCGAATCATTGCTACATTCTCGTACGAATAACGGTACAATTTCCATCGGGATTAAATCAGCGAACCTACGAACACTTATCTACACGTTTAATGCTCTATCTGGAAACAACCCTTAATGGAGTGGCGAAAGTATCAAAATGCGTGCATTGGAATTACAGCTGAAATTAACCCTCTGAACTCCGTAGGCTCCAATATTGCACCAGGAATAATATTAGATATCTGAATGAATCTTAAAGAAACTACCCTAGAATTATTCAATTTTTCCATCCAAATTTTGCACTACCAAGGAAAATGGAAGACCGAAGAAATGTTATAACATTTCTCATTTTCGATACTATAAAAATCAGTTGCAGTTGCTGATAGATTGCAAAACCATCTGGAGTGCTAAGGGTTAATGGAAATACCTGCGATATTTTTCTGGTACCGCTCTAGCGCAACCAATCCAGTTTGAATTCATATTTCCAATTCGATTTCTCAAGCTAATATGCACCTTATTCAGCGCAGATTCGCGGTGACCGAATTATTTTCGATCCCGTCTACTCGTGAATGAAAGCCGCGCGAGAAAGACCTCTTC